GTGAAAGCACAGAGCCTGTTGCTTTTTAAAACAAATGCTATTACAACTACTGCATGTTATTTATGAGTATAGGCAAATCATATAGATTTACTAGAAGGCTGATAAATGGAAACACTCCAGTGAGGCCTAAATATTGCTCTCACATGTATGCTAGAGTAGTTTTCTTAAAATTGGTCTTCAGAGGAATTTTACATTCTGCTGTCATATGTGCTCAGATAATCATAGAATTTGAGAGCTGAAAATATGTATATTGAATTTCAGTCTTAAATCTTGTCAGCTATTGTATGGCCTTAGTAATATTGGCCTGTATGATCATCCATAGAGGAACAATAAATCTCTGCATTAAGCTTTCTAATTGATTTAATAATTTGACAAAAATGGAAATAGGTAGGGGCTTATTTTTTATTCTCCTTTAATTTCCACAAAACTCTCTGTAATATAGGTATGTGATATCTCCATTTTACTGATAGGGAAACAGACTCAGAGCAATCCAGTGATCACCTAGAGGCAGTAGATCCTGGACAGAGCTAGAATTTGCCCCCAGGCCTGAGCGCCTCCAAAGGCCGGTTTCTCCCCATTATACTAGTCAGCATTTACACTTGACTTTACCCTTGTGGGACCATGAATCATATCATGAACCATTTAATGTAGTTTTTCATGTTGCAATTAAAACACTATTTAATGTACATAATTTTTCAGTTTCCTCTGGGAATATGAAATTATGCACATGTATATCTTTATCTATGTACAGTTCCTTCTGCTCCAAGTGGTAATAGTGGCAATTTATGGAGCAAGTGACACGCTGTAAACTTTGTTACATATGCAGAATGCAGAAATTTTTTATTAGGATTGCTTTTATAAGCTTGTCAGCTTCCAGAGAGTTCTTTGAATAATCTGTTCTGGATTTTGTGACTATGCAAATGTCAGCATGATATTCTTTTGCCATAGCATGCAGTTTATTGTTCATTTTTAAATGCCCTCCTGTTTCAAAATGATAGATATCAATAAACATGTTCTTTACTTGGTTAATATATTTCTAGATGTAGATTCAAGAATGAAGTTGAGTGAGTGGGGGCTTTATAAACAATGGTCAGTGACATAAAACCCTGGGACGGAAGTAAAAAGACGGGACAGATGCCTAGTAACAATTCTGCATTGTGCAGCTCTCCCATTTAACCATGTGGGTGCTGAAGGCAGCTGAGATGATAGGGAATACTGTCCCTTAAACAGAGTTCTAGGGACAATTTTGCAATCTGGCACATAGTTCGTGCTTAAGCAATGAATTCATTCAATAAAATATATATATGTATGTATGTGTGTATGCACATATACACCTATCCAAACACACATATACAGAGAAATTTCTCAAGTGAGAAACACATCTGTATGAAAACTTTATTTTTACAATCATTTTTCTATGTCAGCTGAGGCTAAATGAAGTCAAAAAGCGCTAGCCGTCACCTTACACACTGAGTGACGATGAATGCTAAATTTCCTCAACTGAGTGTCACGTATTAGACTGCATTTGTGGCATGATACACTCCTCTACTCAACCAGTGTCGAGTAATGGACCTTTAGCCAGCTGCTGGACATTTCAGCCTCGATTTCTCTTAGGAGAGCTTTGATTGGTTATTAAAAGAAATGAATTCAGTAAAGAGAGCAGCTCTCCTGCAGAACTTCTGTCCAGCTATATCTTTCTCTCAAGTATAAAGACACTCCTCTTCCATAGAAAAGAAAAACAAATCTTTCGTTTGTATACCTGATAGCAGAAGTAACTGTATAGAATTACCTTTCAATGTTATGTCCTTGGCTTTTTCAAAGAAATGGCCAGGCTGGGCACGGTGGCTCACACCTGTAATCCCAGCACTCTGGGAGGCCGAGGCAGGCAGATCACAAGGTCAAGAGATCGAGACCATCCTGGCCAACATGGTGAAACCCCTTCTCTACTAAAATACAAAAATTAGCTGAGCATGGTGGCATACCCCTGTAGACCCAGCTACTCAGGAGGCTGAGGCAGGAGAATCGCTTGAACCCGGGAGGTGGAGGTTGCAGTGAGCCGAGATCGCACCACTACACTCAAGCCTGACGACAGAGTGAGACTCCGTCTCAAGAAAAATAAATAAATAAATAAATAAATAAATGGCCAAATGACGAATGCATCTGGAGGTCCTCAAAACAAATTTCAGACATTATTCATATGTTGTTTGGTGCCCCCTATATTGTAATGGTATGACTCATTAATTAGAGAATTAAGTATCAGGAAGAGTTATCTTTTCTCAAATAATGAGAATCAGTGTGTCCCATGTCTCCCCTGGCTTCTAGGAAGTACAGAGCAAAGAGAAACCCACAGCCGACTGCTTTGTTCCTAGAAGGGATTAGGATCTTGACTATCCTCTTATCCAATATGGCTTTTATTCAGTATTGTAAGAGCTTTAATGCATACATGACTTGGCATAAGCCTCCCAAAAATCATTTATGGAAGCAAACAGGGTAAAAATTATTCCACCTGTGTGAAGGAGACTCTCAAATTTGATCAACGCATTCTTATTAGGTTCCTACCATTTGTCCAAATAGTTGCATAAAACATGACAAGCCAGTCTTGACTCTTTTTAAGGGAGTTTCTAATTCCTAAACATCTAAGTTTTTGTTTGTTTGTTTGTTTGTTTGTTTATTTATTTTTTTCTTGAGACAGAGTCTCACTCTGTCACCCAGCCTAGAGTGCAGTGGCATGACCTCGGCTCACTGCAACCTCCACTTCCCAGGTTCAAGTGATTCTCCTGTCTCAGCCTCCTGAGTAGCTGGGATTATAGGCACGTGCCACCACGCCAAGCTAATTTTTGTATTTTTTTAGTAAAGACGGGGTTTCACCATATTGGTCAGGCTGGTTTTGAACTCTTGACTTTGTGATTTGCCCACCTCGGCCTCCCAAAGTGCTGGGATTACAGGCATAAGCCACCATGCCTGGCTGCTCTTAAATTTTATCTATGTGGACCTCTTACCATGTTGCCTTTCTAATGTCATGAAAGGCTTCTCCAAAAAGGTATAAAATCCTGTCTGTGACAGAAATGTAGCTGAAGAGCTGTTACCTTAGAAGAGTCTTTTAGCTTTTTCTTAAAATTTGAATCACATTTAAAAAGATGTCTTTAAAATTGATTAGACTGTTTCTCCACCCAAATTATACACTTATGGGCCATGGATTAATTCATGATTAGATTTAAAATTGATTTGCATAATGAATTAACATCGGTGCTGCTTTAGACATTCTCTTTGATCAGGTTGCATGTAGTAGAAAAAGCTCTGTTTTTGGCATTGCAAAATGTACACCTTTAAACTTAAAAAATGAGTTACTTGTTTCTCTGAGTTTATGATCCTGTGCTTGATGAGATTTTTTGTAAGTTTAGATTATTTAAAGCAGTACAGCAGGAATCTGAAATGTGATGGGACTGCTATATTACATTTATGACTGTATGGAATAACTAGAATTCTTCATTAATCTCTTTCCATAAAAAGTATAGAATATTAGAAGTGGAAGGGACCTTGGCAGTCATTCATTCCAACTTTCCCTTGGTTGCAATAGAGAGAATTTCTAAATCTTCTTAAGAAATCAGTGCACAGAACTCAATCCTATTGACCAGGTTTACTCCAGCCAGTATGCAATGAAGCTGAACATTTATGCCACTTGATCTGATTTCTATTATGCTGCTAATAATGTCTAAAGCAAGGGTGAAGGAGGGAGAAATGGGGGAAGCAGGCGCCTAAGATTTCTTGAACCCCACCTAAGTGAAATGTATTTTACTTATGTAATTGTGCTCAATCCACACCACAACTTAGAAGTTTCCTGCGTGACTCTAAGACTCACTTTTCTTACTGGCAAATGGGCACAATATTTCTTAACTCTGTGGTCACCTGGTTGGTAAATGTAGAACCAGAATTTTCTTCTAGGTATTTCTGAACCTAAAGCTCATTGTTATTCCTCCTCTCAAAGATGATTATATTAATTCTCATCAGTCACATCTTACCAGTGGCTCATATTGACTTTTGGTCCCAATAATTTTTGAGTGCACAGGGACAGTGTGCTCAGTACAGTACCTGGTACAAATGCATGACTTTTAATTGCACTGCTTTCAAGATTCAGACAAGCTATAATGATGGCTAAGCCTGAATCATGATTTTATTTTTCCCTATTGAATGTTGTTATCCAAGAGTAAAGTCTTGTGCTCGATAGAGAGCTAATATCGTCAGATTGAGATGATGGGGTTGATTGTAAGCTCAACTTCTCTCTCCTGTTCTGCTTCAGGCACATAGAATGCTAGATTAAATATATTAAAATTAAAATAATTCATATTTAAACTTGTGGGGGAAAACAACCCTCCATGTACCAGAAATAGAGAACCTATTGGCAAAGAGAAATTGAAGCTGTAGGAACTAGGTTCCCAACGCCCAGGTAAGGTTAGGAACTGAAGCCTCAGTTCCCCTGCAAGGAAGGGAGTGAGCACCTGGTCCTGACTAAGCCCCACCAGTGTTCTTCCTAAATTTAATGGGAAACAGCATGTCTCCAGGTGCCAACCTGGCCTAACAGCCAGAAGCAAGTAGCACAACCCTTGTTGTAAATGGTAAACTTTTCTGGCTAATTTCCCTTTGGAAGAAGAGTCTTTTTGTCTTTTCCACTCTTTCTGAGTAAAATTTCAGCTTTCAGTTTGAATTTCCACTTTGCCTTCTATTCTTTTTACAAGGGAAGCCAGGCCTGTTAAAGATTGTCATTAAAGTGTCTTACTCTGAGATAAGTGGTGCTTGCAGGAAGGTGTGAATATGAGTGTTGATAGGCATGTTGGACTTAGTGGAGCTGTTCCCCTTACATTATCTATTTCATTTATTTTATTGGCAGCTGAAGTTGGCCTTGTGCTTGCTGACTCATTTTTAGCAATTGTGCAAGAAATGCCAGCATTTGCCACCTTTGTTTAGTCTCTTCTTTTTCAAATCACCTTTCATCATTTCTTTATCATCTTTGGACACCCTGCCAATTCTAAACAGCCCAACACTTTTGTCTTGCTTACTAACTCAGGCAGTCTTTATAGGTCATAGCTAATGAGGTTGGCTCTATTCCATAAAGTATTTGCTGAGTATCTAGCATGCACTGAGCATGGCCTGGGGAATATAACAAAAAAATGTGGGTCATTTTCCTACCTCAAAAGAGTTTATGATGTCAAAGATGTGCTGCTTCCTGAAGACCCCATCAACTTTCTGTCTTTTCCCTGGAAGTGTAAAATGCCACATGTTGGATGAGATGATTATCCAGGCTCAAACTTGGGAAATAGTCATGCTTCTGGACCAAGTGTCAGGTAAGTCCTTGATTCTGGTCAGTAATAGGCCAAAGTCTCAGGTGGGGCTTCCTAAATTTACAAATCTGGCTACCTGCAATTCTCTGGAAGCCTGAGAGTCGCCCATCCCTGCTGTATGCCTATATATATGCGTTGCAGAAATCCCTTCCTTCTGGCAAGGAAGCACTCTGCATTCTAGAGCAAGTATTAATGTATCTTTCAAAGGGAGGACTCATAAAACACAGGAAAGATCAGTACCATCGGTGAGGGATTTCTGACCAGGCCTACTACGTGGGAAAGATGGATGAAGGTAATAAGCTCTGTGTTGGGAAAAATGTTTTGAGCTACCCTTGAGTTCACGAAGTGGACCAGATACCTAATATATATGTGGAACTTTCTCTCTTAGTGTCAAAATATGAAAATGTCTAAGTCACAGGAAGCCAAATTATTATAGCCATATTCTGAAACAGCAAGAAGTTGCTCTTAACCATTATGTGGGTCTCTACAATCAGTTATGTGGGTTCCTTTGAGATACTCCACCCAGAGGGAAAACATGTCTAGACACATAGTTTTGCAAATAACCTGAAGACGCTCATAGGCCACCTCTCTTCGCGTATGAAGAAGTAACACTGCTCTATGTGATGGCTTTGGAGAAAATAACCTGAATGACTTAATCTAATTCATATGAAAGATTTCTCCGCCTCTGGAGCAAAATATAAGCTCTCTTGTGACCTTGTTCTGCCACAAAGGCTGCAATGAAAGCCTACTCAGCAAAGTCTCAGCAGATAATTTTTAGTTCAGAGTCTCTGTGAAATGATTCTAAATGTAAAACAACTGTCAGCTACTAGAGTTAGTCATTTACTTTTTCATTATCCTAATGTGTTTGAGTTGTGAAAAATAAAACAGTCATGTTAACACAAACCTACACACTGAAGAATAGATAGAGATAGATATAAGTCCTCAGGAAGAAGCAGTAGATGGTAAGAGATTAGAAAACATGCTCTGGAAATAGAAGACATTTTTATTTAGTACTTTCCTCACTTGACAGGCAAAACTTTGGCAGTTTTGCAGAATTTTGATAGAATAAGTCTATGCTGTTTTAGTTAAAAATGGAAATGAAAATACATTTTGTCTATATGGAAGCAATTTTTTTTGGTATACTTCTCATTAGCTTTCAAGTTTAGCAGGCTAGGCTGTGCTATGTGGAAGTGTTTTGAGAGGATACTATGTTCTGAGAAGTGTGTTGGGATCATTACATATGTTGCCGCCAAACCACAGTTTCCTCACTTGTACAATGATAAGGAAGCTAGGGTTCCTACGGTGCTATTTCGAAGGATAGAAAAACCAGAAAGAAGCCTAATCCTTGTGTTTGTTTTCAATCAGTTGTTTTTAAGTTGTCTGTCATTTATTCTTAGAGAGACTTTTGCAGTGTATCTGAATTCCATATTCCTCTATGTTCACTGTCGTTTGTATCCTTTTGTTTCAGGAACTAGAGATAAGGCTAGGAATCTGGGACCAATTACTTGATAGAGAAAAAGCATTCTTGGCATTGTTCACGATTAGATGGTCTAAATTAAACAACTTCTTGATTTTGCTGGACTCAAAATTCTTGCCGTGGCAAGTAAGCATCTGTGTGATCTGGCCCTGCCGACTCCCTGACTGTCCAGTCCCCTACTTCTTCATGTTCCAGCCACACTGGCTGCTTTTTTTGAGTTCCCCCCATGAGGCAAGCTTCCTCCCATCTTAGGACCTTCGTTACTTTTCCCTTGATTCTTTACTTGGCTGATTCTTTCCCATCATTTAATTTACCTGTTCGAATGTCATCTACTCAGAGAGACACACTGGGTCCATTGTCTGTGTAAAGTAGCACCTTCTCTTCACTATCGTCTCGCCTTATTGTGTTTCTTTCATGAAACTTATGACTATCTGAAATTATGTTTTGCCCACATGTATTGCCTGTCTTCTCCCTCTAAAATGCAATTTGCATTAGAGTCAAGACCTTGTTGGGGAGTCAGTGATAACAATAACTTGTTATTTATTAGGTATCAATAACAACATGTTGAATGAATGAGTGGGCTTTTGTCTCACACTGAGATTACATGAGGAAAACCAAACTTTTTACTTGTGATACCAAACTGGGGATTTGTTCATAATAGTAAGTGCTTACTTAGTAAAAATTAGTAAAATTCCACGCACGTAACTAAGTACTTTACAGGCATTAATTTAATTCCCACAACCCTATGAAGTGGGTATTATTACTCCCATTTTATAGATGCAGAATTTTTGGTACAGGGAAGTTAAGGAGCTTGCACCAAATAGCAGTTTTGATTGCAGGTATTTGAGCCAATGCTCTTTACTGTTGAGTAGAAAGTGCTCAATAAATAGAGCTTTAACCATGCACTCAGCACATGTGCTCAGCTCAATGACTCAGTGCATGCGAACTATGTGCTTCGCTTCCTATGCACTGGGTCGTTCAGTCCTCGGTTCAAAACTATGAGGTAAGTACTATCCTATGCTTGTTCTAGAGATGAGGAAGCCAAGTCTTGGAAATTCAGCAACTTGTCCAAGGTCCCATAGTTGCTTAGTGGTGAAAAAGAGATTTGAATATAGACAACACGACACTGAAACCTATATCTTAGGCCTTCTCTCCATATTATAAGAACACTTGAGGATTGCTACTGGAACAGTCATTCTGAGACTGTGAAAAAGGGATTAATTAGTTTCCCCTACTCAAAGGGTCTCCACTGGTATAAAGAAGGGTACAATAATGACTATGGAATAGACCAATTCAGAGAAATAAATAGGAGAAGCAGAATCTGTATCGGTACAACCACTTGACTGTAAGGGATAATATTTTTTGCTAACTGTCCATTTCTTCAGAAAGAGCATAAGAATAGAATTTAGAAATCCAATAACTGAAAGGCCAATCTTGGTTTCTAAAATGAACCAGGAAAGATTTATATATATTTTTATATATCACTAGGTATGATTATGTACATGAGCTATAATGCAGGTAGAAAGTCTCGCTATTGTTTTTTGAAACATACTCACACAAGTTGTTGTTGTTGTTGTTTTATAACTCTGAGTACTTTCTTAGCAACTCAGTTCTATTAGTGGCAAACGCCATCAATAGGGATGATAGGATGTTATGGCTACATATTGTCTAATAACTTAGTTCCATCCCCATAGGCAGGCCTTATTAGCGACACATGCAAAATCAGTATACCCACAATAAGAGAGAGAAGAAAATTCCTAGAATCTGTGCATTATTGCTCTGGCTTCAAACAAAATGTGCATGTGAAGGATTATGCTTGTATATGCAGAGATCGAACTTTTTCCTTTGAAAAATTCCCTAAACCCATTGAAACTGGTTGATTCAGCAAGAAGGAGTTCAGCCAATATTATTGAACTCTAGTATTCCAGTATTTTCACAGAACTTTTATGATGAGTTCTTTTATGTACACAATCCTATGTGATCCCTTCTGAACCTACATTTGATGCTCACATTTATCTACATATGTGGGCAGTGTAGGTAAATGTGATGAGGAAATTAAGGTTAATAGAGTTTAAAGAGCTTGCCCAGGTCAGGCAGCTAATAAATAGCAGAGCCAGCACCTGAACCAAAGTCTTTGGGTTCCCAGTTAACATACTTTTTCTGCTGCCCACACCTCCCCCTTGTCAAAGGAAACCTGTCAGTGGTGACATTATAAATGTTCTTGCTACCAGGTCTGCCTCTGGGGGAGCAGAGCCAGGGGGCTTAAGATGTCATAGCTTTTACTCAGTGCTATGTACATGTCTGTCATTTTGTTGGGATTTTCCCCTGCCTACTTAAAGTCTGTAAACACGGTGAGTAGTATTTGTGGACCAGGACTAACATTATATGGTTGTCAGTTTTTCAGACAACTTTTATTCTGTTTCCTCTAGAACCTCCTGGCAGCTTCTTGTGCCCAGGGTGACAGAAACAGGAGGGGCTGGCAGTTCACAGCGACTCTTGTCTCTCTTCTTACTATCAGTGTGCTCTGAGATCTAGCAGAGATTTTATTTCTCAGACTCCTTGTCCTTTCCCCTGCCGTCCTTCTCACTGCTCCCACTTTTATTGTTTCTTCCAGGTTTTGAAAGAGTTGCAAAATTTATCAAATGTAAATGTTGACTGAAGGAATAGAACTGACAGATAGGTGGTCCAGTGACTTTGGCTCAACATGCCTCAGAACCACAGTTGATTTAAGAAATCCGGTGATTCAGCACAGAGGAAACCAGCTAGCCGCAGGCACTGAGGGAATGGGGTGCAGCCAGGCCAGCTCTGCCTGCTTGTCCTTTCTGAACTCAAAAGGCCGTCGTGTGTGCTGCTAAAGCCTACCTGGCTAGTGCAGAGGCCTGACCAGTAGAAGGAGGTCATTACTCACCTTTCATCTGATCAAAAACAATGCAATTTACTTACAGGTCCTGGCCCTACAGAACAGGTTAGATGGTTGGATATATTTGAATAATGGAGCTTTCCAAACAGAAGCAAAACAAACACCCACTGATGTGTAAAATATAAAGAAACTGAACCAGTGTGTCTTTTCACCGTAGATAGAAGAGTTTGGACCGACCCGCACACAAGGTCAGCATGCTGCTCCTCTGTCACGCTCTCGCTATAGCTGTTGTCCAGATCGTTATCTTCTCAGAAAGCTGGGCATTTGCCAAGAACATCAACTTCTATAATGTGAGGCCTCCTCTCGACCGTAAGTAGTGGTGGTTGCCATCCTAGTTCGTGGCTGTGGGGTCAGAGTGTTCATATGAAGCCCCCTTTTCCATTTATTGTAACTTCGTCTTTCCCAGAACATTTGGTTTATCCCTAGAATAAAACAGAAAGTCTCCATTACTTCTATGGGTAAGCGTATGGTAAGTGAAAGTTTCTCCATTTCTTAAAATGGTCTGGCTTCCTGCTGAAGTTTTAATAGCATTCTTGTTTTAAAAAACACTTTTGGGGCCAGGCGCAGTGGCTGACGCCTGTAATCCCAGCACTTTGGGAGGCCAAGGCAGGCGGGTCACGAGGTCAGGAGATCAAAACCATCCTGGCTAACACGGTGAAACCCCGTCTCTACTAAAAAATACAAAAAATTAGCCGGGCGTGGTGGCGGGCGCCTGTAGTCCCAGCTACTTGGGAGGCTGAGGCAGGAGAATGGCGTGAACCCGGGAGAGCTGAGATCCGGCCACTGCACTCCAGGCTGGGCGACAGAGCGAGACTCCGTCTCAAAAAAAAAAAAAAAAAAGAACTCGCACACACACACACTTCTGAAACACCATTCCTAATCATGGCCTAGTAGAGGAAATTCATTGTTCTTTGTGTCTTCCCTGGAGAAGGAAATTGGCTGTTGAATGTTTCTGCATAAATGATCTATTAATTTTTTCAAATGGCCATTAAGGATTTTGAAAACAGATTTATTTGTTTGAAATTTGGAAGAAAATATCACCTAGATTTTCATTACTACCACGCATAGTCACCATTAGCAAAGGTTACATAAGACTCAACTTTCCCACTAATAGTTTAAAAATAGGCAAATATTAGTGTATATCATCTACAGGACATATATGTTAATACATTTTACATACATATGTATAGATACGTGTTTGTATACATATGTCATTAACCCTCCTTTCTTTTTAGACAAGTAAAACTTCTTTGATATACTTTATTAAAGAGTGATTCTTATAAATAAAAAATTATTTGGTATACGTGTGAGTGCCTGTAGTTCCCACGCCTGGAAGAGTATCAGAATCATTATGAAAGGATTTTTAACTGCATATCCCTAATCACTTCTCCAGAGATTTAATAGTCAAAAGGGTGAGATGCAGAATGTATTTATTTCTTTTTTTCCCTGCTTTTCTTTTTTAAGAAGCTCTCCTGATACTGTTGATACATGGTCAGGTGCGAGAACCCCCTCTTCTTATACTACTCCTAAATGAGATCTATATCATTACTGTTCTTTACTTTGTGTTTTATTACTTGGAATGGTTATCTCTGTGTGTGTGCATATATACACATGTATACTACACATGTACATATACATACATATACTACACATATATACCTTGAACTACCATTATACATTCCTAAATTGGTAATAATTATATACTGATAACTGAAAGACATGGCACAGACATCATTTTCATAGACCCTAACTTCTCTACAAATTTTGAAATTTTTAAGCTTAGTACAATTTTATGATGAGAAAAAAATAATTTTAAAAAAGAAAAAGTAATACATGTTCATTATAGAAAATTCCAGAGACAGAAAACATATAGAAGAAAATAAAATTTATTTGTAACCTCAAGATTCAAAGGAGTTTTTCTTTTGGAATATTTTCCTTCCAGTGTTTTTTCTATGTATGTGTATTTACATATGTGATATACTGAGATGGTACAAATTTAGTTTTACACAGTTTTTCCTGTCTTTATACATATTTTGAATATTTCCCAGTGTCTTTGAAGATAGTTTAATGTCTTCTACATTAACAAAAAAAATCATAAGGCTGGTCTATAGCTTATTTCACTATTCCCCCACACTTTATATCAGAAAGAAAAATAAATCACAAGCAACCTAAATGTTAAATAATTCTTCACTGATTATCTTTTTAAATGCACTTTCTCTTCAGTTGGCTAATGACCTTAGAATAGATTTCCTGGAATTGGAATTACTAAATCAAAAAGGTTGTGCCAATTTATACTTTAACCATTTAGCTACCAGCATTGAATATTAGTATTTTTTAACTGTACTGATTTAATTGGTGAAAATGGATGTCATTATTTATTTATTTACCTAATACACTTTCAAACATAGGCAAAACCGAAATATATCCTCAGTATTTAACTTCTTGTCCTCAAAACTTTAGCTTTTGATATTTTGTTCTTGTTTTATGCTACCATACATATCCTCCCCTTTATCTGAAATTCCCACTGCTTTCTGATTTTCACTCCAACTTCTAGTTATATTACTAGGATGGTTACCGTCTTACTAATAGAACGAAGAGGATGAAACAGTGTCTTTGTCTTACAAAAATGGGAGAATTGAAAGTTGTACACAGGGTCCTATACCTTGTCTATACAGAAATGTCAAATTATTTTAGTTTTTTCTTCTTGTTCGCTAAAGTTACAAGACACAAGAAGGCAAAAAAAAAAGGCGTAAAGACAAGTTGCTCTCAGTCCAGACTGCCAGCAACTCAGAAATCCTTCTTTCCATAACAAACTAGTCTAATGATAAGGGCTTAAGAATTACTATCATCCTCATATTAAATGTTATATTCCTGGCCAAGGTCTAATGTTGTGATAATTGGCATATTATCAGATGAGATTACTTGTTTGAGGTTAAATGTAGCTGTATTGGAAGTGCATATGGACAGAAACCAGCATGATCTGATGTGCTAGAGACTACAAGGTATTTGCTCGCAACCCCCCATTTAATCATTATACTTCTGCAAGTCATGAGCATCTTCATTATTAATATAAATGTTATTATAGCTTAGAATTTTAAAAATCACACAACTAATCTGTGGGAAGAACAGAATTCAAACTCAGGTTAATCTGACTCCAGTTCTTTTCAGGGATGACATATGTGTTCCAATACCTCTCCCACCCTCATTCACCCCCTCAGCCCCTACTTATTCCCAAATTATAAATGATAATAGAACAATACTATGCATCTTTCAAAGTAGCTGTGGGACCACTTTCATTACTCTATAGTGGCAATTCTTAGAAGACATTTAAACAAAAGGGAATAAAGAAAAGTCCCCAAAAGCCTGATGGGTAAATCTAGCTCTCTAGAAACAGAAATTTTAAGGATGAAAGCTTGTAAGTTTTGTTTCATCTGTTAAAGTTGCTAATTTTGTGCCATATTTGATGTTTGAAATTTTTGTCTTCTGTAACTTACTGTTTCACTTTGCTTTTTTCTTTAAAGCTACACCATTTCCAAATAGCTTCAAGTGCTTTACTTGTGAAAATGCAGGGGATAATTATAACTGCAATAGATGGGCAGAAGACAAATGGTGTCCACAAAGTAAGTGTGCTGAGTTTGGAAGACTTCTGTGATCTCATTTCTTTTGAATCTCTCCCGATTTGATGATGTTCTTTAGGAATCAGATGTATTTTTTTCTGAGACTATCCGAACATCAGACTATATTGAGAGTTCTTGGAAACTGGTGTCAAAGCCTCAAATTGAAGTTGAGTACCTTAAGAAAGAATTTCTTAAATGTTATTTACCAGGGAGAATACATAGACCACAATATTGATTAAGTCATTCTCAGAATTTCAGAAATACCTGATTATACGTCTAGAAAAGTCATACTTACCATCTCAAAACAAAGGATGATTTCTGTACTCTTTAGATACATTGATATTTGGGAAACTCATTCATTCATTTAACAAACTTTCAAGTATCTTTTTAGTTTGTTTAGTTTACTGATATATCCCAGTGCCTAATCCAGTGCCTGGCCCATGTTTTCTCAGTAAATATTTGCTGACAGAATGAATGAAAGTCTCTGATTAGATAGTCAGGGAAATCTTCTCTGAGAACTGTACCTTAGAACTAAGACCTGAGTGACCACAGCAAGCTGCCATGTGGAGATCTGTAGGAAGAACATACCGGGAAGAGGGAATCGCAAATGCAGAGTTTTCAAGGTTGATAGTTGGCCTCTTCAATGAACAGGAAGGAGACTGGCTGCAGAGGCTTAGTGGGAGATGGAGGAAGGATCTGAGAGGGAAGCAAGGGCCAGGACATGCAAGAGCTTCTTTTTTCTGATAGTTTGGATTTTATTGTAAAGGTGATGAGAAGGCGGTAGGGAGTTTTAAGCTAGGGAGTCCACAGCAGTTGTGTTCTAAAATATTGCTCTGGCTGCCGTGTGGAGAATGGAGGGTTGGGGACAAGAGTAGAAGGGAACACCAAGTGAGAACTCTTGTCTTCAGACAGAAGATGAGAATTTGGACTAGGTTGGTAGGAGCAGAGGAGGTGGGGAGGTGAATGATTGAATGCATGTGAACTTGGAAGTAAAGCAGACAGAATGTGCTGATGGATGAACTGAAATGTTAAAACCATACTTATGAGGAGATTGGGTTGTTCAGATTTTAGAATGTACTGTGTTTTAGGTTTTTCAGATATAAAAGGCCAAGAAAAACAAACTCCTATGGAATTGGAGATAACTAGTTTTGGTCTCCTGTTACCAGGAATCTTTTGGAAATTCCAGTACCACATTATTTATAGCAGTGGCATAGCCTTATCTCTTCCAGTTAAAACCAATGTGTGGAGTCAATAAATACTACACACTGGAGACCTCTACTATGCCTGAGAATCTTATGCCATAAATTAGCACAAATGGCTGTGACATCCATATGGACAGTGTTTTTTCTTATTTATTTTCAAGAATAATTAATTACCAAAATATGTTTTTCTTGGGGTTCTTTTACATTTCTGTCAAGGGACCGTCTTTATGTTGTGTGTGTGCTTATGAGTGTATGTGCATGCGTGATTGTATATATTCGGGGATTTATTTCTACATTTTCAGCAGAAATTTATCTTTACTTCAAAGTTTTCAAGGTTTGTTGATGCTTCTCTTTACTACTTTGTTTCAGAGAGTATCATCCTTTAACAATTTGCTTTAAGTTGCCTTGAAAACTGTGCAGCAAGGGTTAGAACAGTAGTAAACTGCGGCACTGATGACCAGCCTATTAGGCCTTATCTTCATGGATCATGCTATTGTTTTGAATTGTACCAAAACACTGTTCCTACTAGGTCTGTGCATAATGCTCCAATTTGTCATTAGTTAACCAAAGCCATTTTAGCATGCAGGCAAAGATTATGTGTGGCTGTTTCTGGGTTTTAGGATTTCTTTTCTGTTGAAACATGGCTGAACCAAAGGAGAAGCTGCAGCTTTCCATCACCAAGAAAACATCAGAGATGGGAAGGGTGGAAGAGAGTCAGCTCTGCTGCATCCACCTGAGAGGCTGACTCTTAATGGGCTCAATACGAATGGCCCTGCATTCCAGCATGGCACGACAGGACCATTCTTGACTATAGGCCAGGCAGGTCCCAAAGACACTAACCACCTGGAATTCTAATTGAGGGTGTAACTTCTTACTTTTCACTCTGTCATTTCAGGGAGTGATAGTCAACCATTTCTGGGGGCAAATAGGCCTACAGCTATTGTTCTTTGTCATCTCAGGTTTCCTTTTCACTTTACAGCTTCACTTCTGTGGTCTGTCGGGGTTGTTAAAAGAAGTTCTCTGTGTAACAGGATATGACAAGAATGACATTTCTTGTTTTATTTACCCTGGCTTTTATGCTGACTTTTTAGGGCTGCCTTAGCATATGTGCCATTCTGTATGAACACATGCAGCTACCAGTTTTCGATTCTTCTTTGTTTGGAATAGAAATTGAAATGTCTTCTTCAGAACTTTTAGCGGCTCCCTTTCCTTTTGAATCTGGAAGTCAGCTACTCTTGTAGGGCACTCTACATTATATCACTGTATTAGTCTGTTCTTGCATTGCTATAAAGAAACACCTGAGACTGGGTCATTTATAAAGAAAAGAGCTTTAATTGGCTTACGGTTCCATAGGCTGTACAGGAAGCCTGATGCTGGCATCTTCTTGGCTTCTGGGGAGGGCTCAGGAAACTTACAATCATGGCAGAAAGCAAAGGGGGAATGAGGCATCTCACATGGTGGTTGTAGGAGCAAGAAAGAGAGCGGGCAGCTGCTACACAGTTTTAGACAAGCAGATCTCATGAGAACTCACTATCACAAGAACAGCACTAAGGGGATGGCGCTAAAACATTCATGAAGGATCCGCCCCCAGGATTTAATCACCTCCCCTCTCCAACACTGGGGCTCACAGTTTGATATGAAGTTTAGATGGGGACACAGATTCAAACCATATCAATTGCCACGTGGTTTAATATTAAGTATACTGAGGAGTAGAATAATGTTCTGGTTAAGAGTGCAAGCCCTAGAAAACCTCCTGGGTTAGAATCCTACTCTTCACCATTTTCTTTCTATGTGACCATAAGCAAGAAATTGTCCTCAATTTACTGTAAAATGAGGCTGTTAATGTGACTTACCTTAAGGCTTATGGTAAGGATTGAATGCTTGAACACAAGTTAGAGGAGTACCTGGCTGATGGTGCACACTCAATATGGGCTTGCTACTGTTCGTATTATGTAAAGCTTACCACCACTCTATCAAAGCACCAAGACACTTATTATCTATCATCATTTTCCTAAAACCCAAAAAAAAAAAATGAGCTCAGAAGATCTAACATGACTTGCTCACCTATGACAGAGGCAGTTCCATAAGCCCAATCTTCTCAACTTTAGTCCAATTTTTTCCCATTCTATGGCATTGCTGTTGTAGTCTCTGATCAATAAACTAAGAAGCATTTCACTGGCCTCCGGTATAAAAGAGACACAGAACCAAAGAATAATGTCCTAGGATATTGAATGAAACTTCTCGAAAGAACCCTAAGTAATAAAATGTGAGTGGCATAAAACCTTAAGGATAATTCTGGGTAGAAATGAGGTACTGTAGCTATACTAAGCAGGAGGTGGTGGGTGGGAAACAGGGAAAGTAAGAGTTAATTAAAGAGGAGGAGAGAAATGGAAATACATTGATGAGAAAAGTCTAACATATTGGTAGGATTAAAACCAGAATAGAAATTATTAGGTTGGTACAAAATTAATTGCAGTGTTTGCAATTAACAGATGAGTGAAAAAGGTGATCGTGATGTGTAATTCAAAGCACCTGCTTTTCACCCCAGCTCACCTCGTGGCCTATTAATATATAAGAGAAAAATGATGAATAATGAAACAAGTGTTCTGCCCCATTGCATTTTACCTTCACAATTTTCATTTTATTTTAGATTTCGAGAACGTGCTTCAGAGGGAGAGAAAAAGAGAGGGCCAGAGACATAAATATTTTCATATCAAATGAGCAGACCCATGGTTTGATAAAATAAATGCTTTCAGTTTTTCCTCAGCTCTAACTGAAACCACAGGATGAGTGCCCGTTTACATTCATTTTCAAAACACGCACGTGCTTCAGAAGCTGGTGTCTTGAAAATATCCCCTAGAAACTTCAGAGTTCACTGCTATGAAATGTCTTGCCTAGAAACCCCAGGACTGGCCTGAATTTGAGTCCTTTCTGCATTAATTGTTGAGCGATCTCTTTTGTAATGTGGATAATGAAATTACCTTGTTTCTCGGTTTTGTTTTTTGTTTCCTCTTGCCTAGACACACAGTACTGTTTGACAGTTCATCACTTTACCAGCCATGGAAGAAGCACATCCATCACTAAAAAGTGCGCCTCCAGAAGTGAATGTCATTTTGTCGGTTGCCACCACAGCCGAGATTCTGAACATACGGTAAGGATTGTGTGTGTGCATTATTGTCTAAACTTTCATGCTAGTAACGTAAGTCGTAGATCAAAGGAGAGGCAGGAAGGATAGTAAAATGTTGACCATGTTTGCATTTTGAGGAAAGACTCCATACAAAGATAAAATACAGACCAAAGAACAGTTGGACTTTCTGTCCTTCAAAAAGAAATAATGTTACTATAAACAAGCGGCATTCCCCAGACTCCAGAGCTAGACCCTAGACCTCAAGACTGTGGGTGAATGATGTAAGGCCAACTCTGGTAACCTGAGAGCAAACTATCCACAAGAAAATGGCAAAGCCTGCTCTGCTCTGTTGATGGCCAGGAGTCCCCAAGAACACTGCAAAGGGACACTGGAAGGTGACAAGAGGACTATGGTGACAGTTTTTATGAAGGAAACCTTGTCTTATCCGCTGCTTCTGCTTAGATGAGGAAGGGAGTCTGAAGGATTAGCCTCAGTTTAATATGATGAACTGTAGGTACCTTTTAGATCAATTGATCACTGTAACGTTCTCATTCTATCATTCTAAATGAGCATTTCACTCCTTTATGTGCCTGGAATTCTGAAATGCTTAAGAAAGAATTACTTGAAAGTATGTTCATTTCATGAGGTTTTAGAATTTGATTTACCCTGTAAGTACAGAAAATGATTCTTAAATCAGTGGCTTTTAGCTCTAGCTACACAAGAATCACCTGGGTAGCTTTTACACGCTCTGCTTGTTGTTGAGGGATGTGGGCCGGCAGGCTTTCCACACCAGTTGAAATGGAACCTCAGAGTAGGGTCCTGGGTGTCAGGATCTTTTTAAAAAGTTCCCCAAGGTGATTCTGATGTGCAGCCAGGGTTGAGAACCACTGATATGGATGCCTAAAATTGATGCCTTTATCATACCTAGTCATCCTGGAAGCCTCTATGAATGGCTGGGTTTATCAGGTTGAGGCATTGTACCTGGCAAGGTTTGGTATTACCTGAAAACATCCCCTGAAAACACCTGTTAGGGACAAGCCTTTTTTTTTTTTTTCTTACACCACTCAGCAACCATAATTAGCAAACCATTGTTGCTGTAATGATAAGAATCAGGTGTTAGCATAGACAATACAGAGTCATTATTATCCCCTAACAAGTAGCACTAGGAAAGAAAATCAATGACTAATCCCAAAGGTTCCTAGCTTTCATTTTTGTCTGAGTGTTTTCCCTTACAAACCTTTAGAAGATTTGTGGATTCAATCAAGCACTCTTACTCAGTTTCTCTTCCTCTTTGCCTTGCTAACGCTTGGGTTGGGTTTGATGCAGATAAATCACAGTTAGGATAAAAGACTTTCAGCATGGTTTTTCCCTTCCATTCCATTGGCATTCGTGGGGGAAGGGTACCCAAGAGCCTAGATGATACAAAATTGGATAACCAACTCCAATTGTCTGTCTTCAGATAGAGCTGAAGAAGCCTTTCTTTTATCTTTCTTTCTTTTTCTTTTTTTTGCCTCTTCCCTCTTCTTCCTATTATTCACTGTCCTTTCCTCTCCTTTTTGTAACAGGAGTGTAGGTCTTGCTGTGAAGGAATGATCTGCAATGTAGAATTACCCACCAATCACAGTAATGCAGTGTTTGCCGTAATGCACGCTCAGAGAACATCTGGCAGCAGTGCCCCCACACCCTACCTACCAGTGCTCGCCTGGGTCTTTGTGCTTCCATTACTGTGATGCCACCATTCCTAGGAGAGGCAGAGACCAGCCTCTAAAGCACAAGCCAAAAACTGTGTGAACGGCGAACTTTGGAGTGAAGATCAATCTTGCACTTGGTGAAGAGTGCACATTGGACCCCAAGGCGAAAGCCAGTGGTTTGCTTTGATAAAATGTTCCCACATGAGGCCACAGGACTGAGAATGGGAATTTGGCAGGGCCTGAGAAGATGGTCTGACTTCCAGGCTTCCTGGTCAAAGAGAGCTACGTTTGGTCAGTTCTGCAGAGTGGATCCTGGCAACTAGTCCCACCTGATTAGGCCTTTAGCTGAAAGAATTTCTTGACCTCCTTGACTGCCTCAGAGGCTGCCAGGTCAAACCCTCTTGTTTATGTGATTAGCTCAGAGCATCTCTATGAAATCTAGCCCTTCCCCTCACGAGAAAGCAGTTTTCCCCACCAACAGACTAGTGCATGAGAAAGGCAACTGCCACGAAGAAAACTTTCAGTTGAACTAACATGAAATCTATTTGCTAATTGTGGGGGGAAATAAAGCTTTTAAATTATACAATGTAAATGCATGCTTGTGTGTTTCTTGACTGATGTGGAGACCTCTGGTGAAACAGTTACCAGGACCATAAAATAGATCACTGACATTTGTGTCCATGCACCGTTGGTGATATGTGTTAAACTATAAAATTCTATGCTAAAGCTACTTAGCTTTTTTCTTTTGGGGAAGAGATGCATTTTAGGATGCTAATACAAACTTAGTGACCTGAGAATATCTGGGAAACTTCTCTGATAAAGGAAGATGACACCTTGTCATATGATGCACCCTCAGCAGTAGTAGCTTCAAAAGTTCAAGTCAGAGAAAATGGCAAGGGGGATCCCTTTTCCTCCTTCAGTCGTATTCTTTATGCATGCCATGTCTACCAAGAGAACTTCTGTAAATACATGCTAAAATATTTGGTCCCATTCTCTTCTCTTTCCACTTATAATGCAATCTCTGAATTTCAAATGAGCATCTTCTTCCTGTTTCTAGAATTCTGATTTCCTGCCTTCAGTCACACTTTGGGATGACCTTTAAACACTCTGCCCTTGTATTTCTAGTGATGAGTTAATGGAATGGGTTTTTTCCCCCTAATTAAATATCCATCATTAGAATGCTGGGTGCCCTGTAGACTCTATTAATGATGCTATCCTTGCCACATGGGCTCACCTATGACATGAGTTGGCAAATTATGGCCCACAGGCCAAATACATTCCACCACCCATTTTTGTGAATAAGTCTTTATTAAAACACAGCCATGGCCACTTGTTTATGTATTGTGTGTGTCTCCTGTTGTGCTATAATGGCAGGGTTGCCGAGATGCAGCAAAGACTGTATAGTCTGCAAAGGCTAAAAGCTTTACTATCTTGTCCTTTTCAGGAAAAATTTGCTGACCCCTAATCTATGGGATGTCAAGACTGCTTAAGGAGAAAGAAGCTTTCTTTGCAGGGACCATGGTGCTAATGGTGGTTACTCAGCCTGAGCAATGGTTGGCCAAATCACTTCTCTTGTTTTCTCTGTCTTCTGAGTCAGTGAATTTGTCTTCTGTTTTGATTGTTTCATGTATTTGATTCCATCTTAGTAGTTACGTACTAATGTCAGGGGCTGAGCTGTATTTATGTTTCTTCTCATCGTTGATGCACCAGGAGCATTTCGTCTTAAGGCTCCTTAGCGTCCTATCAAACAGGGAGGGAGCAGACATCATTATCTCCCTGTCTCTGGCCCAAACTTAGACTCACCTGGTAGCATCAGTTTTGAAGCCTAATGTAGATTTATCCCATCTTTCACTCAGCACCTTGAAGTATTTGGGTTTTCATAGCTTATACTTGTTTGAAATTAATTATGTAGGGCTTCGCTTGGAAATTTTAATAGCATCTTTGGCATCTTTTTATTCCCCAGGGTTTCTTTAGACTGTGTAATTGACAAATTGTCTGGTTAAAAAAACAAACAAAAAACATTAGCAGACAGCACTTTTTTTTCCTGATTTTGTTTCTGCTATATAGATTAATGAAGTTTCTTTTGTGTGTGTTTTTTTCTTTCCTGAGGAAATATCTTAATTTCTCTTCTTTACCCTGAACATCAAGTTCGTATGGATTTCACGTCTCACCTCCACTCCCTTAAGCATTTAAAATCGGGGTATGTTGAGCAAAAGAAGGAGTGCAGAGGAAACAAGCTTCTGGTAAAGGCAGCTGAGTGAACAGGGAATTACAAATAAAAATATGGGATGCCGCATCAAATTTGAATTTCAGATAAAAAATAATTTTTTGTGTAAGTTATTCATGAACTCACAAGACTGGCTTATCTAAGGAAATGGTTTCGAATCCTTGTAATAAAATCTTCTGAGTAACTTCAAAACAAAACAAGTCCCCAGGGCATTCTGGAGATGTTGATTCAGTAGCTCTGGGATGAAGCTGAAGCCTACCCCCAATAGCTGAAAGTTAAATTTAAACAAACGGAAAAAAGCGCTCAGGTGATTATAATGCTCATCCAGGTGTTACCTCTGATGTAAGAGGCTCATTCCTTTTTCTGAAGCCTGGTCCTTGGGCACATAATAGGTATGCTGATGAGTAATAAACACAGACACAAGCAACCTCGGTTACAGGCATGGCTCTAAAAGTGTGGCCCAACAGCATCACCTGGAAACTTGTTAGAAATGCAAATCTCAGACTCCATCTCAGACCTATTAAATCAGAAACTCTGCAGGTTCAACCTGTGATTTAACAAGGCCTCCAGGTGCTTCTGATGCATGTGCAAGTTTAAGAACCCCTGTACCAGATAGAAGTGCTCCCTAAAAGTCTTCAGTAAATGTGTCCCTGGTATCTGCCTGATTGCTTGGGGGATATTGTAAAAAAACAAATCTGGGCCCCAGCTTCACAAAGTCAGATTCGCTGCGTTGAGTCAAAAAATGTGTAGTTAAAAAAAATTCCTCAAATGATTCTGAAACACAGCCACTTTGGGAGCCACCAAAGGAAAGAATAAAAGATGGAAGTCATATTGGTGACCAGAAGGCCCAGACTCCAACACCTGACCTTTGAGTTCTAATCTGAAAGCCCTATGCACTTTAAGTTGACTCTGTGGTATCTTCAATGTAATTTAAAAACTAGAATGCAAAAAATAAATTCAATCATTAGAGTTCACTGCATAGATATTTAAAGTCCATTGCATAGGGACCTGGAATGGACAAGCATCCCAGGCCTCAGATTAATTTAATTTGCCCCTTGTGGGTAAGAAAATGAGAAATACTTTAGTGTCAAAATGTCCAATGAGAATCCTAGTAGTGGAGTGAGGAAAGATGGGGAACATGTAGATTTGTTAGTATAAAAGAGACAAGGGGATTAGCTATGAATATGAGGAAGATCTGAGGGAATGGCCTGTCAAAGGTCCACTTTCAATAGATCTACATTCTAGAATAAACTTTGAATTCCGTCCATCAATCATTCCTTGAAAAAAAAAGTCACCTAACACCTTTTCCCCACCCATGTGTAAATGCTGTCCCTAAATTCAATTCTGAGTGAAAGCAGTCAGAAATTATCAGCATTACTTTCTATACAATCTGCATTCTGTCATGTCAATCACTGGGTAAAATATATTTCATAAGAGAAAGGAAGAAGGTGAAGGTGGGTTGGTTTCTCTTTCTCACTGGAAAGGAACTTATGAAGCCACGCAAAGCATGAAATGAACAATGAGGACACGCATGGACATGGGAGGTGAGGTGTGGCATGAAATCGGGAAACTATGTTTTACATTCGTGAAATGATCCTTAGGCAAAACTTTCGTGACATGTAGCTCACCAGTTACAAAGTTTGCTATGACCTTTGGATCCTCGACATTTTATTTTATTTTATTTTTGCCTCATTATGTGTTGTCAACTATAGGATTTGTGGAGGGTGACATGGTGATGCTGGTGATGCTGGTTGTGTCTGGGTGCAAATCATGCCAGAAGACAAAGGCTAACAAACTCACAAAGGTGAAAGTCCAAGAAACTGAAAAACAGTTGTGATTTGAGTCCGCCTTTAGGCACAGTTCCTCTCCTGTGTATCTGAAACAGTGCAGCATCTTTCTATGACTCTTCCCACTCCCCTTTCATCTTCACAATTCTGTCTCCTGCCCAGCCCCCCTCACTCCTTGCCTTGGCTTCTCTTTCATCAGATGCTGAGACTAGAAGCTGAGCTGTCTTTAGGGTGACCCAGAGTTGAGATCATTCTGGTTGGGGCTGTGAAAAATAGGGCTTCTGCAGCTCAGTGCCAGAAATGCTATTTAGCAGGTCTGAGAATCTTCATTTTTAACAAGCATCGGATTCTGATATTGGTGATTCTCACCCTGGGAGTCTTAGGGCATCATTTTTTAGAAAAAAAATAACCCAGGCCCTCAACATAAGGCTGTAGAGCTCTGTGTTGAGAGCTCACAGTCTCCTAAGCCACTACACAAGGAATTTTTTAGTTCATGAAAAGTGGTTCCAGCTAAGGGTCTGGAAGCACGTGGAGGACATTGTGGATTGGCAGAGCTGACACATTGAGAATGGCCCTGAGTTGCCTAGGACAAGTGGGAGCTCCAGGAAGGGATTCTGGGGCCCCTTCCAGGCAAGCAGGATGTCAAGGGTTCTGAGCACTGACTTGAATCCCTGGGCATCATAGCTGAGTGCGGCAGTAAGAAGCCATGGAAAGCAATGCGCAAGGTGAGCCCATCCACAGGACCTAAGCACAGACTCAAAATCAGTTCCAATGCAAATATTTTCCAAATATTTGGAGGACAGGCAACATGGGGCAAGCGGGTCTTGAAGATAAACTCTGATTCAATTTTTGAGTATCCTCAGTCAGGGAACGCATCTTTTATAGAATGCTGTAGCCATCAGATAGCTTCAGCTACAAATAACAGAGCGTCCCAAATTGGCATACATGAATTTCTTGGCTTACATTACTGGAGGTTCAGAGAGAGAAAGAGGGCTTCAAGGTGGACTTGAAGCCTTGAACCACTTAGTCCAGTGGTTCCAGCCCCATTCTGTGCTGTTCTTTTGATTCTCCCTTCCCTCATATCCTTTGGTAACTAGATGGCTATAGCTGTGGCATACTGCCTACCCAGCGTCCAGGGAAACAGGCAGGGGGATGCCTCTGGAAGCTCTCCAAGCAAAGGCCTTTGCCCAGCTTTCCAGCAAATCACAAGCCAGAAAGCTGTGGTCACCCTTGGCTTACTTCAGCTAAAGGAAGCTCAGTGTCCCCGAGGCATGTGTGGTGCACGAGGCATGTGTGGTGCACGGTGGAGGCTAGATATGTGAACAAAGCAGGAATGATAAAGGAGGCAGGAAGAAATGCATCTAGATAAGCAACCAGAACTGTCTGCTACAGATTCCCACAATGTGAGGCTGTGTGGCGAGGCCATTGTTAAGGTGGCTGAGGCAATGCTATCATGTCAGAGATAAGAGAGGGAGCCTTTGTCTTTAAGAGCTGCATGGACTTGCCCGAAGCACACAGCTAGCAAGAAGCAGACACAGATAAAGAAGCTCCCATGCCTACTGTAATTCGCATTGTGCT